GAGGATATTTTTTTTAACAATTATATGATAACATGATATGCATGTATGTAATAAATAGATGCCTCGTGCATCGTCCGCCATATCCGTTACAACCACGTGGTGCCTCATGTCAGAATTGAAAATTCACCCCTCCCTACAGTCGCCATGCTTGTCCTGCATGATTTGTTTTAAATATTTTTATTCTTTTTTTATTATTATTGTTTGTGAACATTCCAGCTGGGCGGCATTAAATGTGGATAATTTTTTGAATTAATGAACACCTTTAATCTTAAACTATTGCCCAACGAATAGCTTTAATTTTAAACTTTCAATATAAGCAAAAATTCTTATTAACTTATAAATTTTGAGTAAATTATCACCATTATTAATTTACATATAATGGCAATTAATTTTTAATTTATAAATGACAAGAGGTAATTTACTCAAAATTTACAAGATGCCCATTAACCTTAATTTTTTATTAAAAATTTAAATCATGATTTATTATGTTATGTTGGTGAAATATTTTTTTTTGGCCAAAAATTATTTTTATTCTTTAAACTTATAATATGACATAAATTATATTAAAAATGAATGAAGTTGTTTTTGACGTAAAGTTGATTTTAAAATATTCTAAGAATCTCTGAAATATTTGGATATGTATTTTTTCATCTTTTGGTTTACTAATGTGTATTAATACTATCATTAACTAGTCTTGAATGAAATTAAACGGACATGAATCCTCGTTACACGTTGGTGAGCATTTTTTGATTGAAGGATGCATGCTGTCGTTTGGGTCTTTTTCTCATGAAATTATATATGTTAATAGTAGTGAGGAAAAGAGTATAATTACGAGGATACAAAATTTGGTTGAACAAATCGTAATTACTCTTAAAATGTTTTATGCATGCATTTTTATATTAATTTTTTTATTTCGGTACCAAATTTTTCTCACTCTCAATATATTTAACACTCTCTCCATTCAAAAACATAAAATATTTTTTAAAAATTTAAATATTAAAAAATATAATACATTTTTAGTCTTTCGAAATGTAATCATTGATTTTTTTTTAAATTACCCTTATTGATAATGAATTTATATTTATTATAGGGTGTTTAATAAAGGTAAATATGAAAAGATAAAGTTAATTTGAAAATAGGTAATTATTTTATTGAGAGTAAGAATCAGTTAAAAATACCTTATATTTTTGAACGGAGAGAATATCTATTATTTTCCCAGAAATAAGAAGGAAATAATAGATAATCATGCCACATGTTAGAGAGATAGATACTAATAGTTTGGGATTGCAAGCAAGATTAAGCTTATAATTTCACTTATAGAAATGACTAGATAATGAGACTATTGATAACTTAATTAAATTTAATTTGTTATATACACAAGGTACAATGGTGGCGGAAGCAGAATTGGCAAGTTAAGGCCCCAGGTTTTGAATTTTATTTTCATATTATATGGGTGTTGTAGATAGATATTCAATCTCTAAAATTTATAGAAACATTATATAACATATTTTCTGCATTTTTTTCAAATCGTTTATAAAGATGAAAGTCCTTACCATTTACATTCATTTTTACAAAGAATAATATCTTACTTCGTCCCAACATTAAGCCATCTTATCAATTTTTGCAGTGAGATTAAAATACAATGAAAGTCAATATATGCACATACATATGTACGTGACACATAACCTCTCTCCAAATTTATTTATAAATCACTTTTAACATATTTTATTAAAATTTAAAAAAAATTAAAACTTATTATCTTTATTTAAATGTTTTCTACTTCATAACTATTAAATATACATATTTTAAAAATAAAATTCTCTAATACTCTCTTTGATCAAAAAATATAAATATATTTTAATAATAAACAGCATAACATTCTTATTCTAATAAAGATATATATTGTTTTCTTTTTTAATTTTAGTTTCAATTTATGATGAGTGAGAAGAAACTCATAAATTAAAAAAAATAAGAATATAGGTTAATAAATACCTTAGGTAAAATAAAAAAGAAAAATTCTACAAATATTAAGTCGCTTATATTTTATATCAAGATTCGTTAAAAAAAAATGCTTATATTTTGAATTGAAAGAAATATTTAATAATCTTCCCAACATTTAACAGAAGTAAAGAGATAAAAATAAACAAAAAAATTGCAGAAGTGTCATGTAAAATTAATAAGATCAAAACATTTTTTTTGTCATATAAATAAGAGATACTCCTTGTGATCTAAAATATAAGTAGTTTTTAGGAAAAAAAATTTATATCAATAAAATCCTCATTCTCATAAAAATATACTTCTTTAATTCTATTTATAAGATACTTTCAATATATTTTACCAAATTTAAGGAAAATATTAAAAGTAATTAACTATATAAAAATTTATAATTTTTAAATTTTACTCTTATTAAATATACATATTTTAATAATATATTTTTCTCTAATGTTCAATGAAAGTCAAATGAAAAAATTTGTGATGAAAATGTAATGAACTAACTTCTAAATAGGACTAAAATTTTTTTGTCTCTAACCTATAAATAAGATTGTAGGGAGTATATTGTTTTCCTTTTTATCTACAATCTTAATTACCTATGCATATCATAATGAGTGAGAGATAAACTTATACAATGATTCAGGTTAAGAAGTACAGGGAATAAAATGGGAAAGAATTTTTTTTACATGAACTAAGTTATTTATATTTTAAATTAAAATTAGTTGAAAAAAATACTTTTCCTTTGAGAAGGAAGGAGTAGGAGATTCAAGTCTTTTTTACTAGAATACTACACACAGTAAAATAAATTGCCAAAATGCTACAACGTGAAAAGTATTTTTCAAAATACTACACCAAAAATTGTTCACAAGAAAAACAAGTTTAAGATTCTAAAGAAATCATTCTCGCCTAGAATGATTTTAGAGTCCTAAATTATTTTTTTTATTTCATTAAAAGTGAAATCGTTCATTGCCTGAATAATTTTAATTTATTATTGTTGATTTGACATTTTATTTTCAATCTTTCCTTCTTTACCCCGTAATTGTTTTGTCAAACCTTCAAAACCCCTCAAGCCCAAATTTTACTTTTCACACGGGATTAAAAAATTTATGCACAGTAGCTATATAAGGGGCTGAAAATATGAAGACATAGTAGCAAAGTTGAGGCTAAATAATGCAAATATACGCACAAACTCTTTTCTATGATTCATTTTACTTCCTAAACATTACATTATACAATTAACATCCCAATAAAATTAAATTATAAAAATAAATTAAATTAACTAATTTTATAAATATTTATAAATTAATTATCTAACTTTTATATTTAAGATCAAATGAAGTATTACTTATATGTAACAATTTTTTTATGTGTATTTAATCTTTTTATATGTAATAAGTATTTTTATTAATAAATTAACTACAAACACACACATATATTATATAATCTATGCAGTATATGTATATATAGTATATGTGTATGTTTATTTGTTATTTGACCTCTCTCCCTAAGTATAAGGATCTACCATGTTTATAATATATTAATATGTACATTTTTCCAAACATCAATATTATAAAAATGTATAATTTTTTTACATTGTTTATTTAATCAGTTTTTCCTATACTATTTATATTTGTTATAATTAATATTATAGATATATAATTTCACTTTTAAATTTTTTTATATTATTTATTTGATAAGGTTTTCTTATATTATTTATATTTGTTATGAGTAATATAATTTTATAGATATCTTTGTAATGATTAATATTATGTGTAATTTATTCTCTCAGATTTTTAATGTAATAAACTTACATAAATAATTAATTAGTATGAATATTAAAAATAAATAAAAATATAAAATATTGTATATTAATTTTAAAAATTTAACTCCCTTTACATTTACGTTGATTATACCCTGATTATTTTATAAAAATATTAACCACATTGCTACATTTGCAATTAAGAAAAACTTAACATACAAAATATTAATGATTAAATATTAAAATTTTACTCAAAAAATATTAACTTTAATATAAAATTTGAAAAAATTATTAAGAAAATATACCTTAATTAGATGGAGAGTCAGGCTTTAAGTAGATAAAAAGAAAAAAATACACTTTAAACTTTGATCACAACACTAACACCAACAATTGAAATAGAGAAATTAAATAGAAATAAAGAATTTTAAAGTTTGAATGAGAAAGAAATGACAAAGCATGAGAAATGAAGCAGACAAGAAATAAAGCAAGAATGAAAATTATAGAAATAAAATGTTAGAACACTGGATAAATAAGAGCAAATAATGTTATATTCAATCTCACCAACGCATGAATAAAATGAGAAGAGCAAAAATTACCTCACACTATTTGGCTTCACTCTATCTAACTTCAACTTTGCTACCGTGTTTTCATATCTTCAGCCCTTTACATAACCAATGTGCATGAATTTTTTATTTTCATGTGAAAAGCAAAAGCTGAAGCCTAGGGTGTTCCGAAGATTTTCACAAAATGATCACGGGTTAAAAAAAATATAAAGATTAAAAATAAAACTTCAAATCAATAATAATAAGTTAAAATCATTCATGCAGTAAATGATTTTACTTTTAATAAAATAAAAAGATAATTTTTAACTCTAAAAATCATTCTAGGTGAGAATAATTTTTTCAGAACCTCAAACTCTTTTTTTTTATAAATAATTTTTAGTGTAGTATTTTAAAAAATATTTTCCATATTACAGTATTCCAGCAATTTCTTTTACAATGTGTAGTATTATGGTAAAAAAGCTGGGAATCGGAGTAGAAAAATAAACCAAATAATGGAAGTAAACGTTGCGAATGGTGAAGTTTACGCGTCACAAAGGAGCGTCGGCAATGGAGATAGAGATCCTTGACCATTCTTCACACGTCCCTCTCTGCAAAATTTCTCTCTCAAGTCTCAAACTCTCAGGTCTCTCTCTTAGCTTAGGCTCTCCTCACCGTCTTCTCCTTCCTTCTCTGCCTACCATGTAGCTATGGCGAAGCCACCCACAGACAAAGACATGACAAAGTCAAACTCCCACATGCTTCCTCCGTCGCCCACCCACTCCTCCTCTTCCTCCGACTTCGAGTTCACCATCTCCATCTCTCCCCGAAAATTCTCCTCCTCCGCCCTCTGCCCCGCCGACGAACTCTTCCGCGACGGCCACCTTTTACCCCTCCACCCCTCCCACAGCTTGCCTTCCGTAGTCCCAACCCTCCTTCCCTCCTCCTCCTCCTCCGCCGCCCGTGACTCCTCCGGCAGCTCCAACGATTCCCAGCATTCCTTATTCACCGCCACCGATTGCGACTCCTCCCGCCCGAGCTCTGTCACGGACGACGATGACGTCAAACGATTTAACAACCCGCTGTTCTATCCCCAAGCCACTCGATTCCAATCCCATAGAGAGATTAACAAGATCAACAAGACGAGCACGACGAACAAGTACTTATCATCTACCTTCTCGAGATTCTCCTCCGTGTTCCGGAAAGAACCGGGTAAGACCCGAGATCCGGATGGCGTATCCGGATCGTCGGTGAGACGCGTGAGCGTTACGGCGAGAGAGGTTGTTAGGAAGTATTTGAAGAAGGTGAAGCCGTTGTACGAGAAGTTTTCGCAGAAACAGAATCATCAGCAGAGGACGGAGACTACTAACGGAGCAAAACCGACGTCGTTTTCGTCTCTGTTGGCGAGAACAGAGAGATCAACTGCGAAAGAAGCGGAGAAGAAACAAATAGGGTCGGTGATGCTTTCTCATTCTTTCTCGGGAAATCTGAGGCACCTGAGGAGGAAGAGAAGCTGCGTTTCGAGCTGTCCTTCGTCGATGAGATCCTCGCCAACTCACTCCGGCGCGATTTCTCGAAGCGGTGGCGTCGCCGGAGGGATGTACTATAGCAGCTACAATTCGTCGACGATGGAGGAGTTGCAGAGCGCAATCCAGGGTGCGATAGCACACTGTAAGAACTCATGGATTCAGGAAAAACCAATGGTCAGCAACGAAATCTAAATCTGGTTAGGGCATTTTCATTTAAGGCATGTAGTTTAATTTAATTTATTTACGCCTATCTCTGTTTTTTCTGGTTTTGTCCTTCCTTAGATGGGATTAAGCTAATATGGTAAAAGATAATCTACTTTCTCTGCTGTTTTTTCCTTTCACTTTCTTTAGCTTTTCCGGGAAAATCTGACATGAGAGTGATGTCAATAAAATAGCTGCACGGGACTGCATTTGATCAAAAGTTGATTCTGATTTTCTAGTGAAAATACGTTCAGAAATTTCTTTTCTTGGTTGGCAGCGTCAATAGATACGCTAAAAATAATCACTGGAGAATTGGGGTCTCGGGTCACAAATGAAAATTTGAATTCTAGTTAAGAAAAGGGCAAGCATTTAATACGCCGCTCAGAATAGGATTGCAGAAGATACAAAAATGTGAAAAATCGCATAGAAAAGGGGAGCTTTCTGACAGTGCTGTCACTTGAGATTGAAATGGTCAATTTTTCATAATTTATATTTATAATCATTTATAGTTCATGAATAATATAATTTTTTTTAAAAATAAAAATTTTTTTTAAAAGAAATGAATGTTTAAAAGTATAAAACTTCTTAATTTTTTAAAATGTAATTATTATTTTTTAAATATTTTTATTAATAAATAATTTTATATTTATTAAAGGATATTTAATAAAGATAAATATAAAAAGATAAGATTAATTTAAAAGTAATTAATTATTTTATTGAAGGTAAAATTTGATTAAAAATATTTTACATTTTTAATGAAGGAAGTATATTTTTTTAAATGATACCTTGTACAGTGATATATTCTTTCAGTAAAAAATATATATTATTTTTAATTGAATTTTACATTAATAAAATAGTTATTTATTTTTAAATTAATTTTATATTTTTTATATTTATTCTTATTTAATAAAGTATTTTACTCTAAATAAATATAAAATAATCTTTTCAATGGAATACTTAAAAAAAAAAGTAATGATTACACTTTAAAAACTCAAAATATTTTATATTTTTTAACATTTAATTCTTAAAAAATATCTTATATTTTTTAATGAATTGAGTAAACATATATTACCTAATTCAAAATATAAGATATTATATATTTTTTATATTTATTTTTCAACTATACTCTTACTTTATTTTTATTTTTTTTGAATAATCAAGTATTAAAATATTAATTATTATTATCAAGCCTCTTATATAATATATTTAATAAAGATATAGATACAAAGATAGAGACATTTTTAAAAAATTTAAAATTTTTAAATAACATTACCTATAAATCATAAATTAATTAATTATAATTTATATTGTGTTCAGAACACATTTGATGTTGGATTTTATTTAAGATTTTTTAACAGGCTTGGATTGGAGTCAATGCGTGTAAATCTTTTTCTTATAAATATTTTCATCATGGCCTTTTTTTTTTTAGCAGCAGCGATAATAGTAATAATAATAGTAAGAAGGGTTCGTTGTTGTTGTATGTATATTTACTTCTGGATTCTGCATGCTGGTTGCATTGGAATGCAAAATTGGCAGAACCTGAGTTGGAGCTTTCCTGGAAAATGATTCCACGTGATTCTGAGTCTCTATCGTTTTACTAGTTGAGGTTCTGAAAACAGTCTTTCTCTCTCCAATTTTGAATGTGTTTGTCACTTTATTATTTATTAATATAATCTTCCCACTCTATAAATATTATAATATACTCCTTTGCTTGCAAAATTTAAGACATTTTTAAGGTTTAAATATTTAAAAATTTAAATTATTTTTAATATTTTAAACTATAATCAATGTGCTTTTATTCCTAATAAATTATTTTTTTATTTTAAAATAAAATATTTTATTAAATAAGAATAACATGAAAGATAATATTAGTTGATAGACAACTAATTATTTTATTGAGAGTATTATTTAATTAAAAATATTTTATATTTTTAAATGAATGAAATATATACTCTCCCTTTTCATATAAAAAATAGTTAAATGCTATTTAAAATATTAAAGAAGTTATGAAATTCAATTAGTTTTTCATATTATCCTTGTTGATTATACTAAGCATGCTGTCATATTAATTTCTATCCTCTTTTACTATCCTTACATCTCAAGTTCCCATTAATAAAAAAATATTAAAGATATATTCTCTTTGTTTAAAAATATAAAACATTTTAATAAAATTTCACTTCAATAAACTAATTATATATTTTCTTCTTTATTCCTATTTAATAAGATGTTTACTTATAAAATAAATATAAAGTAATTTATTTAATAGCAATGCTTTTAGATAAATTACTTTATATAAGGAGATTTATGGTTGAGAACCACAATTTTAAAATGTGGCTTATATATAGAATAAGGTAGCATATAAGCAGATTTATGGTTGAGAACCTTAGTTTAAAAAAAAATAAGAAAAAATTATACACAAATTTCTTACATTATTAAATACTATGATAGCTTGACAAAATAAAATGACAGCTAAATAGTTTAAAGATCACAATTTAGTAGAGCAAAATAACAACATAGAAGACCTTATGATGCTTAATTATGTTGTGGGGTCCCAAAATAATTCTCCCAAAACTAAATTTAAATAAAATTTTTTTGCTCTGAAAAGTTGTGAAGTACAAATTAGAAATTTATGCATTAATAAGGTTCTTGTGTGACATTATTAATTATATAATCAAATCTTGAATTGTTTAACACAAGCCAGCAAATTATATCAGATATTCATAGACCAATGGTAAGAATTGATAGTTATTGTCGATATTTTAATTATTTTTGTATTCTATTTTTTCTTTTATTTTTAAACATAAAATAGTGTATGATCAATTGAAACAAGTTATCCTTGAATATTATGTAGACAATTTTTATTGATATTTTTTTATCCTGTTGACATGTTGAGTCATTAAAAATGTGTATTATGTTCCTATTTAATATGAACAGTTGTGTGTTTAAGTATGTTAAACATGAGTGATGTGTCTTATTAAGCTATAATATATTTATAAATGATCAAGTTGCTTTGTCGTGTGACTATCCCAAGCTAGTGGTATTATCATTATTTTTGTCCTTAACATATTTTTCCAATCTTATTTGTTAGGTAAAAAGAGTATTTATTTTAGTCCTATTTACAGGAACCTATCTAATTTTGATGTTCATCTTTATTATTTTTCTCCTACTAAATATGGAAAAAAATTATTAAAAATTGAAGGTATTTTATTTCTAAAGCATACATATTTAATAGGGGTAAAGTTAAAAATTTATTAAATTTTTAGACAAAATTAATAAAATTTAAGTTTTTTTAAATCAGGTGAAACATATTAAAATTATTTTATAAATAGGATAAAAAGAGTATTTTATAAATTATTTAAAAAATATAAATATCAAAATTGCCACAATGGAGACAAATTGGAACAAAACAGTTTAAGTAATGCCACAAATTAGCACAAATTGTTGGCATGATTTTTTTTTATTAAGTGTTGGCATTAATTATTAGGTTGGAATAGTTGTATAGTACTACTCTAATTTATTTATAAGTCACTTCTAACATATTTCATTATTATCAAGAGAATCCTTAAAACTCATTAACTATGTCTTAATTAAAAGTTATTAACTTTGCCCATATTAAATATATATATTTTAATAATATTTTTTCTCTCTTCAACATTCAATGAAAGATAAAATAAAAAATTTATTATAAAATTTAATAACGTGTTTTATAAATAGAATTTAAAAATTTTTTCTCTCTTTACTTTATAAATATTACTAAAGAGAGTATAGTTATCATTGAATATACACTTTCTCATGTGCCTATTATAGAATACATTTTTAATGATTATTTGGTCTTTAAAATAAAGCGCATAAAGGGTTTTTTATTATCATTTTTTAATTTTTATCCTCATTATAAATTTAATTTTATGATTCATCGACTCATCTTATAATGTGTATCTTTCTTTTTTTTATTTTTAATAGGAGTAAAATTGAATTTTTTTTCATTTTAAAATATATTTTATAAGTTAATTATTATTTTTTAATTTTAATAAAGTAGTTAAGAGCTTCTCATAAAAAGAACCGGCGGGAATCCGCGCGCGTGCGCTGGCTGTGTTAAGTCGGTGATATATATTGATTTGTTGAGTGGAGGAGTGACGCTTTAAGAAAATAGATTCTGTGCAAATGCATTTTGGTATTCATAGTCCAAGTTTGATTTTGCACGTTGGTCAACATCTTGCTATTATTTTGAATACGAAACAAGATTAAAAAATAATATCGCTTTTATAACAACCAACTAATTCAATTTAAAAAATACAGAGAAAAAAAATATAAGGTGTCCAAATTTAATATGACAACTTAGATAATGCATGCACTAAATGCCTTCATCTCTTAAGTTGTAAGTGAGAACCAATATGTTAATTATAGAAATTTTAAAAATCCTAAAATTTTAATTTAAAATTCATTTGCAACAACTAATATTCTATTATTTACAACCTAACTTCTAACATTCGTAAATGAACATCCAAAATTTACAATTTGTTTTGCAATTGACTTTCTACAATTTATATTTATTTCTCAAAAGTGTCCCTAATGAAAAATTAATTTATATTTATTTTAAAATAAAATATTCTATTAAATAAGAATAAATATAAAAAAATTATATTAATTTAAAGGTAAATAACTACTTCATTGAAAGGTAAAATTTAATTAAAAATATTTTATATTTTTAAATAGAGAAAGTATAATAAAAATTCCAAAATTACTGACTCAAAAAATTATAAAAAAAGATTAATAATTTTTTTATTTTTAAATTTATTTTTATTAATAATAAAGGTTAAATTATATAATTTTTAAAAATCAAAGCAAACGTTGCATAGAAAAATGAGTGTAGATTCCAAATGTCGCTGAATATTATAGTTTACCGATTAATTTTTAACACCTGGCACGTTAGGCGAGGTAGCTTCCTTGAATTCCACAGAGGCTAGTGCGTCTATCGCTTATAGATGCTTTGA